AATCTAAGTGCAAAGGTAAAAAAATAAAGACTATTTTCAAAACAAAAATAAATTGAGGTGGTCCATGAAAGGGAGTTGTTAACACAATATTAAAAAGAAAAAAATATTTCAAAATATTAAAAAAAATTAAAGAAAAAACTATTAAAAAACGAAAAATTAATAAAAATAGTGAAGAGAAAAATTAATCGAACATCGAAAAAATAATATTTTTTTATTTAAAAATACAATACAATAAAAAATAATTTTTAAAAAAAATTGACAAAAAATAATTTTGTTTTTAAATTTAAAAAAATTGTTTTTGAAAGTAGCCGGACTTAATCCCAGTTTGTTGTTTTTATAAAAAATTATTTTTTTTTCAAATTAAAAAAAAAAATATTTTTTAAAGAAGATAATTTTTAAAAAACTAAAAAAGTGGATATACAAATTAAGAAAAATAATTAAAAAAACATTGTGTTGTAAAATTTAGACAAACATTTAAAACTATTTTTTTTTTACTAAAAAAGTGTTTTTTTACTAAAAAAATAGTATTTTTTACTAAAAAATAGTATTTTTTTACTAAAAAATAGTATTTTTTTACTAAAAATAGTATTTTTTACTAAAAAAAATAATTATTTTTACTAAAGAAATAGTATTTTTTAATAAAAAATAGCAATTTTTGTACTAAAATATAGTATTTTTTTTACTAAATATAGTAATTTTTTTATTAAAAAATAGTAATTTTTTACAAAAAAAAAAAAAATTTTTTGCTAAAAAAATAGTTTTTTAAGTTAAACAATATTGCAGTCAAATCAATATTAAATTACATTTTTTATATCACAAATATTTTTTATTAAACTAAAAAAAATCTATATAAAACGAAAATAATTAAAAAATAATAATAATAAAGTAAAAATCAGGCAACGACTACCTGTTCTCTCTCTCCCTTCATTATTATATTGTATGGCAGCAGCAACAAAAACACAACAAAACACCAAAAGGCGGCATTTAACAACGACGGCAAACCAGCAACAACAAGAATAATCACAACGCAAACGAAGGCATTCAGTTGTAGCAAACACAAACGAAACGAAACAAAATTCATCAACCAAAACCGGCTAACAAAAATAACAACAACTACCCAATTGTATAGGAACTCGGTTTGTTTGATTGTTTGTTTCCCCCCGCGTGTGTGTACGTACATACATAGGTGTACATTACGATAGTTGTTTGTGTAGTTAATTTGTTGTCGTCGTCATCAACATCGTCATCGGTGTTATTTATGTGTGTGTTTGTGTCTAGTGTGGTGCAAGTTAAATAAATTAAGAAACAGAAATCAAATAGGAGAAGAACATCTCTATCAAAAAAGTAAGACCAATTTTTAATTATAAATAATAATTCATGTTCTATTCTGTTGAAAAACATCAACATAATTGTACAGGTGTGTGTGCGTGTGATCATCATTAATTTTATTTTTTGATTTCTTGTTATTTTCTTCCTTTCAAAGTGTCTGCTTCTCCTCATTTTGTGAACAAACAAAGTTTTGTTTTGTCGTGTTGTTTGATTTGTGTCTCTCAAAGAAAAGAAAAACAAAAATAATCCCTCAGCCATCATTGATTGGCATCCATCTGTGTTTGATTTGAGAGAGAGTGTAAACAAATAAAAATGCAATTGCACCTGTTTTAACAAGACAATAACCCGCCACAAAATAAAAAGAAACAACAACACAACATTTTAAAATTCTAACACACAAATGAAATAAAATTAAAAACAAAGAAAATACAACAACAACAACCAGCAGCAGTCACAGCCGCAATTAAAAACAGAAACCCCTTCATCTCCGAGAAAACAACAATAATAAAAAATAAAAACGGTGGTTATTCATTCTCACACCAACCTGCTGTGTTCAACTCACTCTCCTTCTCTCTCGTGTGTGATTTGGCTCCTCGTCTCAACAACAACTCCTCATTGTGATTATCATCGGCTCTGTTATTTTTTATGTCACCATTGCTGTTCTATGTGTTAATACCTTTTTTTGGAGAATAGGGTAGTTTTTTCGTCATCGTCGTTGTTGTCATTATTGTCAAAGTGCAAGAAGCATAGCTGTCAAAAGTACATCACCACAAACACCAACGCCGTTAACAAGGTTGCCAACTGTTGCTGAAGAAACCAGAAGGTAAGTTAATCAATGATTATTTGAAAGACATTTTTATTTAATGTGATAAATGTGTGAGAAAAAAGTGAAATAAAAAAAGTGAGAAATTAAAAGAAATAATTGTGAGGATGTGTAGAAAATAAAGTGATAAGAAAAATTAAAAAATCATAAAAGAAAATACTCAAAAATATGGAATGAAATATAAAGGTGTAAAATTTATAGACTGGGTGTCTTAAAAGTTATTTTTGTGAAGGATAAAGAAAATTGTAAATTATAAGTGGCCTTAAGATAAGAACAAAAATCTTCAAAAAATGATAATTAAAATTATATAACAAATAAAAAATAATATTATGTAGATAGTGTAACAAATATAAATAAAAAACTAATGAGCGGAGAAGTATAGTCGGACGGGGCCGATCATACGATACCCTACACAACTTATACGAAACTATAACTTTCTGCGGTCCAGATTCCCTTTACAGTGTATTGTGTTGTGATTTTTGACTTATAATTGTTGCCTATAGACCAACTCAAAAAAAAAAAAAAAAATAAATAAAATAAAAATAAAATTTCGGTCCATTTCATCCCAAAATTATTATCTGATCATAATCGAAAATTATTGGCGTCGTCCTTGACCATACCTGGATCCTCATCGATCCATATATATAGCTTTCAGCGCTATATTTCCGCCCTCTAGTGTGGTAATGGGTTTCTAAATAATATCTGAATACGTAAGCACCTGTAAATATTTAAGTGTAACTTCCACATCCGAGTACATACGACAATATAATTGGTATCAATTTAAAGGTCAACCACTCCTCTTGGATATACTATCAACTTCTCGGGTCTAGGCCATTCAGGGGTAAATATATACGCTATAGAATAGAAATTTTGTCATTTTCAGGGTCCATTTGACCCGCTAAATATAGACCGATCTTTATCAAAACAGACATGGTTATTATTTAGCCCGATCCCCTTCTCCATGTAAAAATTCGCAACCAGAAAATTAGACAAAAATAAAGTATTTGGTCCATTTCGTCCCCAAAATATTAACCGATCTTTAACAAAAAAAAAAAAAAAAAAAAAAAAAAATAGGGGTCTTCATTGGCTAGAACTCATCCTACATGCAAAATTTCGTGAAGTTTGGTCCATAACTGTGGCCTGTATCGTGTTTACAAATTATAATGGACAGGCGGAAGGACACACATGTCTAGATCGACTCTGCTAGTGGAGATATGACGATCGGTATACTTAAAGGTGGGTCTATGACCAATATTTCGCGGCGTCACGACACACACACACACCATATATTTAATTGTCCGTCCGAGGCTATATGCTTATGGCTAAAACTGATAGAGGTGGCACAATTTCTCCGGCTGATCTCTTTAAATCCTAATTCCATTAAAATCCCTGTGTAGGGAAAACTTTTTAATAATTCAAACGTGGTTTTGGTCCTTCGAGCTGGGCCAGCAAGAACGAGAAAAAAAACTAATAAAAATGACACTTGATAAAGTCTTCATGAAAATCTTCCATCTATTAGAAACCTCTAAACCGATTGTAGTAGCATATAGAACCCTTAAAAGAGTCATTGTTACGACCTTTTTTCTAATCCCTTTTCGATGTTGCCTTTATAGACTCGATCACAGCGTAAAGGGTGAGCCTTTACGATCATTAGCAAAATCGTTTCTGTGACCTTGGGAGAGCCTTTCACGTGCCTCATGTTTGTAAAAACCCGAGCAATTCTGAAAATTTCTAAGTTCTTACTTTCAATTCGATCCTTCGATCTGTTTAACAAACCGAGAAGGTTCGGAATATGCAATATTAAAGCCTTCCATCTGTACGAAATCTCTAGAAGAATTTTAGCCTCTTAATGATCATTAGAAAAATCGTTTCTGTGATATTGAACTTCATATTTGGGGAAAAGGTCATGGACTGTAAAAACTCTGTCATTGGTCCTTCGATTTAAAGAATTTTGGAAGATAATAACAAAAGTGTGTGCGCAAATGGTCCTTCGATTTGTTACTTGCAGACTGAGGAATTTATTCGGCATATACAAGGCCTCCTATGAAATCTAGACAAGGATTAGTTTTCTGTCTATAGAAGACTACTACAAATTGGTACGATTCGAGTCATTTTGGATAATAATAGAAAATTGTTTGCCATTGTCTAAATTCTTCCAAAAAGTTGATTAGATAATGGTCCTTCGATTTGTTTTGGCGGTCTAAGATTGAGGTTATTTGGCATATACAAAACCTCCTATAAAATCTGAACAATAATTCTCCTTCTGTCCATAGAATACCCATAAAAACTAATATTTTCAAGTCGAAGAACCAATGGTACGAACAAATAAATCGAAGGACCAAAAACATGAATCAATATGACTAATCATTAACGAAAATTGAAAAATTCGAGCAGAGCCATTGTGGAAAATTATCGAGAATTTGTTTGTGTGGTTGCCTCAACCATTATTCAAATGGTCCTTCGACCTAAAAAAGTCGTATATTTCAAGTCGAAGGACCGAATATACGCTACATGAATCATTTCGTCTTATCATTAAAGTGGGAAAGGTATTTGACTAGAATAGATATGACAAGCTTATCTTTGGAATTCCCCTTCTGCAAGATTTTAATTATTAAAAAAGAAAACAGCACTGAAAATCTGTAAACGAAATCAATTAACCACGATAATAAACCTAATAACAACTCGATTATGTTGTCTGAGCAATTAACTGAGATAACTCCAATTGGTATACTTTTTTCTTAAACACCTTATAATAAGAATCGCAGTAATTGCCAAAAATTCTTTAGTTATTTGGAATCTACTCATCAAAGAAGTACGGAGACGGCTGTGTAAGAAAAAATCACTTAAAATGCTTACGGGAAGCCCACCAATTTGGATTGTTGCCTTCATGGTGATCTGTTTGTCACCATGGTTTTGTCAATTGATCTCCGCCGAATATTATGCCCAATGTGAGGGTAACGATAATCGTTATATAGCAAGTCCGGATAGTTGCTCGCGTTACATATTCTGTTATGGCCAAGAGTCCTTTGAAGGGGATTGTGATGAGGAGGCACCATATTTTTCGGAAACTGATCAGACATGCGATGTCAGTGAGGATGTTTGTAAAAAATTTGAAGGCACCGATAATGGTGAAGGTGGTGAGGGAGATGGTGAAGGCGAGGGAACTGGTGAAGGCGAGGGAAATGGGGAAGGCGATGGAGGAGAGGTGGTAAAACCCGGACAACCCGAAATTGAACCAAATAATCCAGAAGTGCCTCCCAATGTGGTAACATCAGCACCAGTTCCATCACCTTCAGTATCAAGCGTATCTTCTTCGGTCATAGTAACAACAACCGTAAAACCCTCTAGCATTAAACCAACCCAAAGTTCTGCTGTGCCAACTTCAAGTACTACCCCAAAACCTCCTACAATTGCAAGTTCCACAACTCAAGCTAGCATTACTGCCGTTAAATGCCCCGCAGAAGATGATCCGCTGAATTTAGTCTTCCTACAACATCCTAAATCCTGTTCAGATTATTTTATGTGTTATCATGGTGAGCCGATCGCCATGCATTGCTCGCATTCCCTACATTTCGATGTTCGCACCCGTAAATGTGATTATCCGGAAAATGTTAAGTGTCAGGTGGGTCTTTCGTGAAATGGATTTTTTTATTTAATATTTCTAATCTGAATATTTCTTCTTGAATACAGCTCCATTCAGTTTCACCGCGAGAACAATGTCAAGACCATACCGTCGATGTTTTTCCCCATCCCACCAATTGTAATTATTATTACTTATGCCGCCTTGGGTATCTCATGGTGATGCAATGCCCTCCCAATATGGATTGGGATTATAATCGCAATGTTTGTGTTTTGCGTGGTCAAGCCACATGTTATTCGTCCACCAAACAGAGTAATAGTTGGAATTTCTTTTCAAATTAACTGTGGATTTGATGAAAAATCTAAAATACAAACAAAAAAGACAAAATGTGTATGGTCGAAGGACCAAAAAATATGTTTTTAATAAAAGAAATAGCTCAAACGAAGGATCAGCATTTTCGTTAAGTTTATCTTTGGCGGAAAGTTTTTTCTTAAATTATCTTCATCTGAAATAGAAACTTCCCTTTAAAATAGCTGTTTTGTCACAATGTTCCTAATCGAAGGACCAATTCTAATGAAAACAAATTCTGAAATAGACAAAAACTATTCGATCGAAGGACCAAAAATTTTAGAAAATAATTTTTAATCAATATTTCAATTTTTTTGGTCCTTCGCTTAACCGAAGGACCAACAAATTCGAAGCGTTTCTATAGTGGAATATTTTTTTATCATTTTCGTCCCCAGAAAATTAAAATTTCGCCCCAAAAGACTTGTTTGCGTCACTAAATGCCTAATCGAAGGACCAATTCAAATGAGAGAAAGTGAAAGAGAACCGCTCAATTTTTCGTCAGCCGTAGAAAATACTTCCCACGTGACTTCCGCTTCAAACGAAGGACCAAAAGTTGGTTTTATTTAAGTGGTTCATCGAAGACCACTAACAAAATCTTGCATCGAAGATGTTTAATGAAAAAACTGCTTAATCGAGGGCCATCTTCGTTAAGCTTAACTGTGGCAGGTTTGTTAATGTTATTCCGAATAATTCAGAACCTTCAAATAGTTGTTTGTCTAACGAAATGCCTAATCGAAGGACCAATTCAAATAAGAAAAAGTGAAAGCCGTAGGAACAAGTTTCTTCATGATTTCCTCTTCAACCGAAGGACCAATTCTTGGTCCCAAAATGATGTCAAATAGGTTTTATCTAAAAAAAATCGAAAGCTCAATTCAAATGAGTATAAAATTCAATTGTTTTTTGTCAGACGTAGGTGACATCCTCTTCAATCGAAAGACCAAAAGTTGCTTATATTTATGTGTTTCATCAAATACCTCTACAGGATTCTTGGTGCCAAAATTATCTCTAATAGGTTTTTACCTATAAAAAACCAATCCTAATCGAAGAACCAATTCAAGTGAGAGAATGTGGAAGAGAACCGCCCTATTTTTTCGTCAGCTGTAGGAAATACTTCATACGTGACTTCCACTTCAATCGAAGGACCAAACATTTCAACTGTTTCATCAAAGACCTCTAAAAGATTCTTGGTCCCAAAATCGCACAAAGCAATGTGTGATGCATAATTTTAGGCTGTAAATAAAAGAACAGTTGTTTGTGTTGGGAAAACGCTATTTTGATCGTTTTTTATTTTAAAAAAGTGTTCTCTCGATTGAAAAATGTAGCTATATTTCGATTCTGCAATTAAAAATGGAATTTTATTTATTTTGGTGATTTAATTTTTTTCAAAAAGTATTCATACGAAATTTCAAATTTAAATCCTTAATACACAGCGCCATCGGCCGAACCTTACACTGACCACTTTCAACATCGAAATAATGAAAGAAAGGACATTTCTGTAGAATGGCATGACCCTTAACACAGTAGATAAAGAAATCACAACGTTCCGTGTGAGGGAAAATATGATGACCATATAGGGGGCACATGGTTTCCTGTTCCAGCGGCAGTTCTCCTCCTGGGGCTGGTGATATTTGCATGGAGTTGGCATTACTAACCGCGGGAGGGATACAATTAACATTTGTGGGTAAATCACATTTTCCCATTTTCGGATTCCAATAGAGATTGGCACTGCACTCTTGGACCAAGGCCTGACCGTGATAGCACATAAAATACTGGTAGCAATTTTGAGGATTTGCAATGAAAACGAGGGAATTTGATTGCGATTCCTGGCCATATAAATCAAAGCAATAGCGATTGGCATTTGCCAGAACATCTTCGGCGTTAACGGAGGCTACAGGGGAGCTGGGTTGTTGGACAGAGGAACTACTTTGTTGACTGCTTCCCGGCTTACACTGCGGTACCTTTTCCGCCACATCACACAATTTAGTTTGAGGATTATAGAACATATTGTAGGGACAGGAAGCCTCAATGAGTTTTCCATCATCACCACAGAAATAGAAAAGTCTGCAATCCGAGGGATTCTCTACCAAATCGCCGACGGCATGATTGGCACAGAGATTGGAATTTTGGCGTGTCATTTTCCTCTTCACCGTTAAGGCTTGAATCGGACACAATATGTAGCAAATTGCAATGAAGATATAAACTGCAAAGAATAGGAAATAAATATTAATTTTAATTTACTTCAATCACTAAAAATCTAAATCCTCACCCAGGTTAAAACCCATAGTGAATTATTATATTGAACTGATCGTCTTTCCGCTAATGTCTTTCACTTCAGCACGTTTAAACTAGATCTAAACTCATTGTGAAATATAATATACCCATGTATCCCTCTGCAATGTTTAAAAATTCGATAGAACGACCTCAATTTCCGCACCATGAAGAGATTATTTACATAGAATATGTCTATTATCTGATGCATGTGTATAGGTATTTGCTTTATCAAATATTCATTAAGTTCATTAACTAGATAAACTTCACCTTCGAATATATAAACAAATATCAATTATTCCAGATTTTGGGCATGTTCAAACTCATTCTGACATTGAAGAAGAATGCGAACAAATACCTTCTGAAATTCTGAAGATATTGGTAATTATACTGCAGATAATGGAACAATTTAAAGTTCTGCATCAGTTAATATTAAATTGGTCCTTCAATCTGTTGAATTGGTCCTTCGAGGAACTGTGAACAAAATTCAACAAAACGTTGCTGGGCAATTGGCCCTTCGACCGGTTGGTTATTCATGAACCTTGTCAAAATAAATTTCGTTTTGGTCCTTCGACCAATATAATGGTCCTTCGAGCGGAGTCATTGCCAACCTCTGTGCAAATTTACAATTCAATTGGTCCTTCGATCTATTTTCCAGAGACCATGTAAAGTATATTGAGCTTCGCAATTGGATATTTGGTCCTTCGAGCCAATTCAATTGTTTCCAATATTAATATTTTAGAGAACATTTATTTCTTTATTTCTATTAAATAATATCTAACATCGATATTGCAAATTTGGTCCTTCGATTCAATGGCTGTGCAGTCAACAAACCGAAAGCAAACATTTTATTGAGGCCACAAACTGAATGGCTAGACGCCATCACTACCACAATAGTTATATTTCAAGCTTTGCTCTTTATTTCTGTGAAACAGATTTTGTTACAATTTCGATTTGTTGTTCACCATAAAAGTCATACCTCTCTGCTGCCCTGCGCTTCCATTCATATGTCGTTAAATGTGCTTTTGGTGGAAACCTGATGATGATAAGCCATTGCCAGCCAACCAATCTAGCCATCAAGCAACCAACTATGCCAACCAACCAACCAGTCAAGCTGTTAGTAGGTACCACTCGGAGATATCGTTCACAATTTGAATGGTGCAAAAAAAAAAATTGCAAATGTTGGCAGAAAATGTGCACAAAAAGGAGAAACATAGAAGAAAAAACAGCAACGAAGAAAATGTCAACAAAAAGCAGCAGTAATAAGAAATGGGGTTTAGTGATTTACCTGTGATTTTATGTTGGACGATTTATTTTGGGTTCCAGGAAATTTTTTTCAGTGGAAATTTGTAATGAGGAAAATGTTGGGTTTGTTTTGTAACACAGAATTCAATTTTTGGATACTTTTTTGTTAATTTTGAACTTAGAAATTTGAAAATAGCGATTATATGTATTTTGGTCTTTCGAGCCAAAGCATATTCCGGCAATTCTATGTTGGCTAACTGATGTAGTGTTTTAGTAAACTTTTGATGGATTATTATGGAAACACAAATTGTTTGCATGCCTTTATGGAAACACAAATTGTTTGCATGCCTTTAAAAACAAAAAAAAAAAAAATGTTTGGGAATTTTTAACCTAGTATTTTGAAACTAAAGGTTATAAGCATTTTGGTCCTTCGAGCATACGAATATTCAGAAATGTGTCTCAGGTCATGAGCTTTGAGTTTTAAAAAAATATAATTTCAAGCAAGGAAAGAAAAGATTTTTTTGTAAATTTTAAATTTAGATTTTGTTTGTAAATTTTAAACCTAAAAATTTAAAACGAGCGATAATATGAATTTTGGCCCTTCGAGCTCTTAGAAAAACAGAGATTTATTAAAAAATAGTTTTTCAAGTCCTAGAAAGGCGTGGATTTATTTAAAAAATAATTGGCTCTTAGGGCAAAAAATATTCTGAGGTTAGTTTAAAGACTATTTTTTTCAACTTGTAGCAAGACTGGATTTATTAAAAACCATATTTGGTCCTTCGAGCTAAAGAATATTCTTCTACGAATGCATGGATTTATTAACACCATATTTGGACCTTCGAGCAAAATTATTATCTGTTAAAAACATATTTGGTCCTTCGAGCAAACGAATACTCTCCTAGCACGTTGTGGATCTACTAACAAGTTATTTGATCCTTCGAGCAAAAGAAAATTCTCATGGAGGGCTTGGAGTTATTAAAAAAATATATTTGGTCCTCCGAGCAAAAGAATATTTCTTGAAAATCGTGGATTTACTAAAAAATATTTGGTCCTTCGAGTAAACAAATATTCTGAAGACCGTTTGAAGAATATTTTTCAAAGGCCCAGCAATTCGTAAATTTATTAAAAACAAATTTTAGTCCTTCGAGCAAAGGAATATCCTCTTAGCAAGGTATGGATGTATTAAAAAAATTATCCTTTGAACAAATGAATATTATACTAGCACGTCATGGATCTATTAAAAAAGATATTTGGTCCTTCGAGCAAGAAAATTCTCTTAGCGAAGCGTAGATTTATTAAAAAATATTTGGTCCTTCAAGCAAAGGAATATTCTGAAGATCGATTGAAGAATATTTTTTTCAAAGTCCCAACGAGGCGTGGGTTTTTTTAAAGAAACTTTGTCGGGTTATATTTATAGACGTCGATTGTTTTAAAGAATATTTTTTGGGGTATATTTACAGGAGTGCATTTTTGAAGACTA